CGAAGCAGTGGCACTCTCGGACAGCCCTGTCCCCGCAGTGCCAGCCGGCAGATCGCCATGATGGAAAACAGGGCAGCGGCGCTTCTCAAAGTGCATACAGAACGAGGCCCAGCTGGTGAACTCCCATTGACAGTGTGCACATGTGGGCATGCCATGCACACAATGTGGCATGTACTCTCTGCGCATGACGGCATACGTGCGCTTGGCAGGTGGGGGTTGTTGGCTACTGCGATTCGGGTGCTTCAGCGCAATGTGTATTCTCAGCGTGCGAACACTAGGAAAGTAACACCCGCACTTCGAACAGGCTTTTGGAGCAACCTTGGATGTGAGGGCCACCAGTCGGACCGGAGCCCGCATTGGCGCTGTATGTTGTCGCTGCATGGGATCCTGTACTGCAGCATGTAGGCCTTGCTCCAGTTGTTGCCACCATTTGTGGACTAATTCGGGTTGCAAGCTGATCATACCGTTGCTGTTGCAAGTTTGAATACGCCTCTGCACCCTTCCTAGCAGCTGCTGTACAGGTTCCTCTACCTGCAGGCGTGCATACAGGTCTTGGGTCGGTTCATGTGTGATAAAAGATGGTGCCTTGCTGCGAGGATGCGAAGTTGCCGAGCAACATGCTGTTGGAGCTTGGTGGCGCCCCCCGGAGAGAGACCTATACTATCAAGGCCATGTATGAGCACCGAGTGCACGCAGGTTCGCCAAATTCTAGTGCGGTGCTGCAGGCTGATACCAGAGGAGCGCAGGGCAGGCACCAGCCGGTTAAAGGCACTCCAGGATTGCTTCAGGTGTTGCTTTAAGGTGAGAGTCTCAAACTGCCCGTAGCTCAAGACGGTGCCTAAGTAGGAATGTTGCTTGACAACCGGCAGGTGCAGCTGTTGTCCCTGCAGGGGTAGCTGGAGCACTTTACCCAGTACCGGATCATGTACCACGTGTTTGCTGAGAACAGTGTGTGTACGCGTGCCTCGGACCCCAATCAGGACTGCAGACTTAGTGGGGCTAGGGCGCATACCAAAGCGATCCAGCGTACGCAATACAAAGGCAATGTTCTCGAAGGCTTGCTCTAGCTGGGCTCCGTTTTGCACCAACCAGTGAAACAAGAAATCGTCTGCATACACAGTAGTGTCTTGCATGGCTATCCTTTGACGGAGATAGGTTAGGATTAGCCCAGTGTACAATACCCACAAGGCCGGAGCTAGGCAGCAGCCCTGTCGAATACCGTTTGATGTCCAGGATCTGTGGCTGAGAGTGCTGATGGAAGAGCTTCCTGTAAAAGGATCCTATGGCCTCAAGAGTATCAGCAATGTCTAGAGGCCTTCCATCCTTCTGGCGAAGCTGCAGCTTTCGTCGGGGCTGCTTGGGCGCAAACAGTCGCAAAACTTTGAAGACTCCTATAAAGCCGTTGTGTCCGACTGCCTCCTGCAGTTGTTGCATAATGCGCTGACTTCGCCGACGGCGACATGTCCGCCGCAGCTCGCGTTGATGCTTCTGCAGTGCGCTGAGATCCCGCCAGCGAGCCATGAGGTCACGCAGTGTGCGGCAAGCGGTTTTTCTACCCTGTTTAACTATGTCACGAAGGCGCCATAGTTCCATGACTGACTGACCTCTGTTGTCAGGACTGGAGGGCTGCCGTTGAATGGGTAGGTGTGAGGTGGCCTGCTGCCAGGCTCGCCTAAGCATTGTGTTGGTGTCTAGGGCAGGGTGAGTCTTCTGCATGACCTGCATAGCTCGGCGAAAATTGTCTGCAACTTCGGGATGATTCTCACAGGTATGCTGCACTTTGTGCCTTTGCAAGGGAGGGGGCTTATGGTGACTACGGGGCCGAGCAGGTTTAGGAATGCTGCCTAGAATAGGAGTGTGCCTCATACCTGTGACCGGCACAAAAGGCAGCATCTGCGGTCTGGCACAGCGAGAAAGCTGATCTGACTGTGTGCGCCTTGTAAATGCAAAGTCAATCTGGCTGTGGCCCGTCCGCCCGGCAGGGTGGAAGGTGCACGCTTTCAGACCGCGCGGTCCCCACGTGTTGAGAGCGAGCAGGTCTTGATTGCGAACTACATCCTGTAGCATAGAGGAATCCCCTGCATGAACACCCAAACGTTTGCATAGCCCTTGACCCACTAAAGAACCTTCCGTTGCTAGATCAGCATTCATATCTCCCAGAACTAACAATTGGTTACGCTTAGGGAGAGATTGCAGCAGGGTTGCAAACTGTGCCAGAAACTCCGCACGCTTGCTCTGCAACTTGTCCTTCTGATCAGATTGAGCCTGCTGCCCTGAGTGGAGGGACCAGGCATGCTGATAGCAGATAAGAAGATCGACACTCGGGTCGCCTTCCAAACGTACATGTAGCAAACGCCCTGGTATCACTTCCCTATGCTGAACTTGCATAGCAGTGTATAACTTCTTGTCAATCAGTGCTAAGATGCCCGCCTGCGCAGTGTCCATGCCACTATGTACAGCATAAAACCTGTCGGTAGCGTATTCCAGGGGCCCTTTCCAGTGCGTTTCCTGTATGGCTACCAGGTTGACGTGGCGACCGGCTGATGAGTTCAGCCATGTGCAGAGCTCCAAGTTACGATCAACAGTGAGGCTTCCTGCGTTCCACGACAGGTAATGCAATCGGGATTGAAGGTCAGGCTGAGGATGGACTGCGGAGCGGGGTGGGCGGGGAACATGTTCAACTCCTAATTGCACGGCACTCATCCACCGGCCGCGATACCTAGCGCTGCCAGTCTGTGATGCACGTTGTCGAGCCCTGAGGTAGGCTCTTTTCTGTACAGGTCGGGGGTGAGATAGATTACTGGGAATAGCACCGTTGTGGTTTGCCCTAGCAGTACCACTGAAGCAGGCTTGATAGTGCGCTTCAGGAGGTTCCAGGTGTGGAGAGCCTCCAACCCTCGTGTCTACAGGAGTCGGCATGGCCGCAGATCGTTGAATCTGGCTGAGGAGCACTATGATGAAAAGCAGTGCTTGGCAGGCGACTGCCGACCTCCTGTCCCTGGTGCGGCTCGTCAACTGTGCCTGTGCGACTGCGGCAAAAAAGTTTGCAAACGGAAAATTAAACTGTACATGAGAGGGACAGCAGGTCAGGGCAAAGCTCAGTAGAGACCACCAGCCAAGCAGCAACCTGAGGCCTGAGGATCGCCGGCGTCGACAATGAGGTCGTCGACTGTGTTGCCGTCGAGGAGGAGCTCGGTTTGCCCGAAAGCGTCCAGATCGAAGGCATCGGCCGAGATCGCATCGGAGAGCATGGGGTCCGCGCAGTCCAGTTCTAGGGCGCGTCCGGACCCCTGGAACTAGAAGATGGCTCGCCAGGCTCCTCCGCAGGATCCTCCGCAGCTGCAGGCTCCTCCGGCACCGTTGGGTGAGGATTACTCGAGTACCGCTGGTACCATTGCTGGAAACTCCTCCTGTTGTCATCGTCGAGGAGCGGGAAGAGAGCCAGCAGGGTGGGCACAAACAGAAAACACTGGACTTGTTCCACCGCGTAAGAGGCCAGATGATCCGCCGAGTCCGGGAGCAGACGCTTACGTAGGCTACGTCGTAGCAGAATTGCCAGGCACTGAACGAGGCGGGTATGGCCTGTAGTTCGCGGCCAAAACCCACGAAACATCATTTTCCGGCGTGCCATTCTGCCAGAGAGCGCCCAGGGTCTGATAGTCTCGGTCGAGATCCCGGGACGGTTCCTCGTCAAGTTGAAGATATACGTAGTTGTAGACATCTCCAGGCTCCTGGTTCGCTCGGCTACGGCGTTGCGCTGCCAACTTGGCATTTCTCGATCTTCTGTCCGGGTAGTACAAGCTGAGATGGTCCGCCAGGTAGTAGAAGCTGAGCTCCCGCAGAGATTGGTTGGCCACCTGCTCCATGAGTGCTCCGTGGCTTGCAGGCAGGGCAAATCCGGCTGGCTCTGACGTGGGCCCATCCAGTGGCCCTTGCACAGCTTCCTGGTCGCTGGATCCTTCTGCAGCCTCGCTGCTATTGTCAAAATTGGTGTCACCATCACCATCGCTGTCCAACATGTTAAAAGCGTCATCACTGTCAAAGGAGCTGGAAGCTGCATTCGATCTAGGCATGCCCCGGCTCGAAAGCCCCACAAGCAGGCAGCCTGTAAGTAAGGAAAAAGGTTGCAGCAATATCCAGCTAAGCAGACAGAGCTTCGCAGTCGCACGCATGCACGAAGGGCCCCCAAAATCAGAAACACATTTGGGCCGAGACACTTACTACTATTACTACTACTACTACTACTACTACTACTACTACTACTACTACTACTACTACTACGTGATGCTACTACCACTTCTGCACCACGACGGCCAGGACGGCGACCTACAAATACTACTGCTGCTAACTACTATTCAGACTACTGGCACTACTGTCGATGGAAAGGCTGACGCTCATACTCGCACAGTCATACCACCAGTATACAGTAGTCACTTTTGCTAGCTATCGATTCCACGATAGAGGTCTGGCCGACTGCATTGAATCACCCGGCGAAGCTAGACGACAGAAAACCAGAAAAAACTCTGTGCAGGCGTGCAGCGCGGGGCTCTTGGCCCACGTAACGCCTGCAGCACCCAAAGCAGCTCTGGCCAGCGTGCCGAACTCCAAGCGACGAGGCGCACACGCCCTTCAGGTTGGGTTCTAAGAGGAGGCTCTAGATGCTTCGGATGCCCCAACTGCGTACGACCGCACGGTCCATGTCAGCACAAGCTGTGGCAAGCCATGGTTACATACGGAGATTCCTTTCTGCAAACTTCGAGAAAGCCTACTTGATACAACTCCCTCCTGCACCTTCTTCCTGATGAGACGCCTTTTGCTCCGGAGCCTTCGTCCAACCTGCGGCCCAGCTCCAAGACGAAGGCCTCCAGGGAGGCTCGGCCCAGATGTGGATTCTGATTACGATTCCCTCTGTGGGCATGAGATCGCAGACCGGAGTCCGTGGAAGCCTCGGCAGCAAAAAAAGCTCGACAGCCGCGGTCTCCGGGTTCTTTGGCACGCCACTCCGCATATTGGACCTGACTTTCACGATACAGATTCGCCGGGATGCCTCATTCTCACGGCATCGCAGAACCAAACCAGTGCTCCCACCAGCTGTCAGTGCAAAGCGTCCAACGCTTGCAGTGCAGGGAACCTGCGCGGGCGGGGGAGGCGATGCGAGGCTGGAGGCGCTGACACTCTGCTCGGCGTGGGCCTGGCCCAAAGGGAACCCGAGAGGCGGCCGAAGCGCTCGGCCATCGCCTGAGAGAAAAACCGCAATCGCTGCGAATCGCTACGGCCGCCCGCACACTTTGCAAAGAGTCCTCCTCGGACTCGTCCATCAGAGGCCACTCATCCGGACCCAGCCAGCCTGCTGAAGCACTCTACTTGACTGACATACCTTGGTGCACTGCTTTCCCGTCTGCTTTGCACTGGACCTCCGGCAGAAGTCGCAAGAAGCCGCTCGATCGCCTACCGGCCAGTCGTTGCTTTCGCCCGGGCATTTAAGGTGTGGACAAAGGGCTTCGACGAAAAAGGAGGGGAGGGGTCCGCTTCTGTGGGCTTTCCTTCCTGCATCTCCCTGCCAAGGGACAGACTTGCCCTGGCACAACATAGCGTGTGCAACCTCGAGTGGTTCGGCCTCATCAGCCAGCGCTCCGACACGGTCCTGCCCAGCAGCCGCAGCCAGAGCCACCAAACCATTCACAGCGTACGGAAAGTCCTCCAAATTTCAGATGCTCGCGCTGGCTACGAGTCTGTGTCTTAAGGTTTAGGCTCCGCGGTTGCAGCTGCAGCGAGATTCCGAGAGCAGGAGCAGGCCTGTCCTCATGCAAGCTTGAGTACGAAGACCTGCTGCTCAACACGTCAGCTCTCAGTGATACTGATACGATCACACCAACCCACTTGGCCTGTTGCTGGGTGTCGGTAGGGTTTTACAAATGGTGAAATCCACAAGCCAAGTAGTGGTGTGGGACGACATCCCCTGCTGGTGGTAATAACACAAAGCTTGCAAAGGGCACGGAACACACACAATAAATCACGGCTGCTACACTGCTACACTGCTTGCAATTGGCCAAGCGCACCTTCCACCCACAAAGTTGGAATCTGCGACCGGAGGATAGAACCTGCTCCATGGCAGCTCACGCAAGGAAGATCAGGCTGAAGACGGTGGGGACAGCTGATGACCCAACAGACTTAGCGATATTTGAAGACACGAGCAAGAGCGCACGCACTTGCAACTCGTTCTAATGTGGGCGTACTCGAAGAGCCGGCCAGCCAGGCCGTCGGCACTGCGCTGAAGAGTCTGGCACCAGGAGGGCTACGCGATTGTTCCAAGCAAAAAACAAAGGATTTCATGCGGAAGTTCCTTCACCTGCAAAACATCTGTTCCATGAGCTACACCTGCCTCAACTCAGATCCTGAGACCGACACGCCTTCCAAAGAGCTTCGTTCCGAATTGCACACGGGTTAGGTGCCACCAGCCTCGTTGAGCCAACTGCGTGGCTCCACAGCACCCAATCGTGGTGGTGACAGGCGGCGACTGGTGTCGGAGCACGGGGAGCACGCACAGACTCTTGCCCAAAAAAGTCTGGAATAATCAATCAGAATAGACAAAAAGATGATAGTCAACCGAACCAGATGAAGCAGTGCACATCGGCCTTCTGCGTGGGGCCACCCAGGCACCCCCAACCTGCAGGCTATTGTCAGCTTCAACATAGAACTCAGCAAGAACTGAACTCACCGTCTGCATCTTCGTCGTGTATTCTGTCTTATTTGTGGACTGAATGGCTGTTGTTTTGGATCCACCAGCTGTTGCTACGCCATTCCTCGGCGAGTTTCGGAATGTAGAATTGGCGGGGGTCTGTTGGAGGCAAAGGGCTTGGGTGTCGGAAGTCTGCCAATAAAAGTGTACTCCGTGCCGCTTTCACGTGCATTCGACATCGTGTTCCCCTTCTTCAAGGCCCGTCAGTGGCAAAGCTGCCTCGAAGCGAATATATTCATTCGATACAAGTTTGGTGGGGCTTGGTCCAGTCTTTCGACTATATAATGGCCATTTGCGGCTTTAAGGGTTTAGATTTCTGGGCTTTTCCCTGCGCAGCCCTTAGAATTCATGAGGCTGTGCAGGCCGGAGAAATACAAATACTCAAGCACACGAGTCCAAAAATAAATCTATAGAAAAAACAGATAAGCAAATTAATAAATCACATACATATGTAATTTCAGAAATCAGAAACATGTGAGACTATGGGAAAGAATGTGTGTCTGTTGTGTATAGAGAAAGAGAAAAAGGGAGAGACAGAGAGAGAGAGAGAGACAGAGAGAGAGAGAATACACAAACAAATTTCATACCTTCCCTACCAAAGGTCAAGCAAGGGCTACACGAACAAGGCATAAAGTACGTGATTTACTCGGAAGCGAAGCCACTACAAGAGAACACCAAGCTCCTCAGCAAAATCATCAGGAAACCAAAAGCAATGCCTGTGCCAGCAAACTCCGGACCAGCCTGGAGCGTTGAGAGCAGACCCTTTGCTTCCTCGACGGCCGCAACCTCGCAGGGTGCCCATCCTGCGACATGAAAACTGAGAGAAAAAATGGAGAGGCTGCTGTGGCGCGCTCTCTGGCCAGCTTGCATCCGGAGATTGGTTGATCCACAAACCGTTCACATACCTGTTGTGTTCCTAAGGAGCACATGCAACACTGATGTCTCAGATTCATTCTATGCTTGGTTTGCAAGGAAAACATGCCACGTGCCGGCTACAAGATCAGTTTTGCTCTCCATTGACTGCTTGAGTCGGAGTTGCCAAAGCCCGAGATCAAAACATCGACTTCATTGTGTGTGAGTTGAGTCAAGTAGACCTGAGCCGTCAGCTCTCTCTCTTGTGGTCTCAGTGTTCCCAACCTTCTCCGCTCTTGACCGCCGCAATCACTTCACCATACAGTGCGGGGGACGCACCGAGCAGTGCCGCTGCCTCTCACGCACGGAACCCAGAGAATGGTCGCTAAACGCCTCATGACGGCCTCGTCGCTCCGGAGGAGGTCCAAGATTGCTGGCCAATTGAAAGCCGAAGCTGGCCTGGTCACAGAAGCCTCTTGAATCACCCAGAGTACGATTAGCTCCCAGACAGGAACCGAAGCTTACAAGCAACAAGGCCTGAAGCATACACTCTCAGTTTGCGTGGGCTACCCCCGTCAACTGGCACCATAGACTCGCCATAGACATACTCTTCCGAACATGAGCTCTCAGCTCTTGTCCCTCTTTCCAGCCTGCACGGCACAGGCCTGCGCATCGGACAGGAGCAAACACAAGCAGGCAGCGCGAAGGCAGTCAGGCAGGTAGGTAAGCATGCACAGATGTGTCCTGGGGCAGTGCTATCAGTGAACACATGCGCCTCCTACACAGCTTGCAGACGGACGTGAGTATCTGACTCCACGACACAAGTAAGCACTATAGGCACATACGCATACATGTGCACACGCATGCCCTGGCTGAAACATATGTCAAATGCTACGGTGTTGTATTGTGATTTTCTGCATGGTGCTTGGGTTCACATGATATCAGAATCATATCCCTTAAGATCGCAAGATGGAGTCACACAAGACAACAAATACGTTCGGTGAGTATCTTGGGCTGCTAACTAGGTATCTCATAGACCATGTAACAACGCAAACGCAATTGCCGCAGAGTCTGCCACAGAGACAGGGAACAAGACCCTAACTCGCTGAAGGCAACACAGGGCCAACCATCTCCAACGAAAGCATTGCTTCCGAGTCCGTGGCTGACCACCAGGCTCGCAACGGAAGGGCAGGCCCGCGCAAGGCACCTTGCTTAGGCCAGGGTGAGCTTGAGGGTGCAATGCTGAGCACGGCCTTGAAGAGAACAGCAGTGGAGCATCCAAGTAAGTGTGGAGCTTCTGTTGCATAGCCGAAGCTGAACCTTGGACCAACTGCTCTCCCACAATAGCTTCCATGCAAACTGTCCCCAAGTGGAGGCTTGTGACTTGCTAGAAAATTCGCTTCTGACCATCAAGCGGTTGCAGAGCCTCAGGCAGCGGCAGGACAGCAAGACAGCTCCAGTCCATGGCTCTTTCTGCTCTTCATGTGTAGCTCTCAGCACTTTGTAGCAACATGTTGAAGTAATGTCTGGGTCTGGGAGTCCCAGAAACACGGCTCGCGTACACTTGTCTGGCCAGACTTGATCGCTCATGAGCACGACCGGAGCATACCTGTAGGATGACCCAGTGCCGGTTTTTTCACGTCACTAAACAAACCGACCACAGCCTTAACCATTTTAGCCAACTTTTCCACTGTACTGGGACTGTCGGATGAGGTCCATGCATGCCCATGATGTTATTTTCCGCACCCTGCAACTGTATGCTGTACATCCCTTGAACGGAGCCAGCTGCTAGCAGCTCAGCCTCCGAATCCCAAGCAGACGGGAGGTGAAAGAGGTATGCAAGCAAACAAGAGATCTGTGTCAACCCAGAAAACCTAGGTGAAAATCGGCAGGAGTCACGCTGAATTAAACTGCGGGTCTCGCCGACCCTGAAAGACCAGCACTGGAGCAAAGCTTCGATCCAGGTTGGACTGCTGAGAACTGGTAATGAAGAAGAGCAACACCGAGGTCTCAGGATGCTAGCCCCTAGCCTCTCTCTTCAAGCTTCAACTCTCTATGAGCGGCTCGCGCCGCGATGTTCTACAGTCCTCCTCATCCGCACAGGTAGCGGTCTGAGAGGTGACTGTACGGACACTCTTCTGATCGATCTTGCGCAGGCCGCTCCAGGAGACGGCCTGAGCTCACACCCACATCAGAAGCAGGGATCTCCGCTGATGCTCGTCTCACTGCACCCTTCAACTCAGGTCAAGGCCAGGGTCAGAAACAAAATGAGAGTGATGACATAAAAAGGGATATAGCGGCCAAACGGCCCCAGTCCTCAAAGCCGGGTACGAGGCTCGCACGTTCTCCGCTTAGACTTCTCGAGCTGCTTTCAAGCCCCCATGCCGAGACAAGCAACGGTTACATTGACCCAGGAGCGCCTCAGCGGCGGTTGTCATGAAATGCGAGGTTCAACGTGACGCATCCCGCATGCGAGACCTGCCTGAAATAGCACTGACATAAGCATGCTTTGAGTCATGGGCATGTGCTCAAGTCGGCCTTCCGGACCTGGTCACCGATGCCTTCCGATGCCTTCCCATTCGGAAAAAGGAGTCCACACACTCCCGGACCCTTGCAGGCCGAGCAGCGGCAGCTGCGGGTGGAAAGACTGCACGGCACAATGCACCTGTATTTCGCCCGTTCGGGTTGGTGAGGTACGGCTGGGGGCTGGCCATGAAGCGCAGAAGGAAATGATCCACGAGGCTTCAGCTCCTCTTAGCTCTATGAACTGATCGGGCTGAGATTGATTCGCAGAAATCACGACAAAGAATCCTTTGGTCCATACCTCTTGCAGTAAGACTCGCTGTGTAGCTACCTCGCACCTTATCACCTGAGGCTCTGGTAGGAGAACTTGGGGGGGTGCCCCACTTTCAACCACCTTCATGACCTGTGAGGCCTCCGATCCTGCTACGTAAGGATCCAAGCAGTCGGGGAGCCCGTGGAATTTGCCCAGCCGTTAACGGCCCCTCGGCTCATGCCCTCCGATGCACCTGAGAGTAGATTTAAGGTGTCGAGGCTGAGGGATGTTTGATTGCAAGGCTGGCAAGTTCAAGTGCACGAGGTTTCAACATTCAACATCAGTTTAAAAAACCACTCGGTCAACTGGTGCCTTAACTTCGCAATTCGAACAGTCAAAGCTGAGACATGCCGTAAGCACAGTCGTCGCACTTTGTCTCCAGAACTTCACACCTCACTGCTACATGCCTGGATTTGACACCATTGCAGGCCGTGTCCACCACGACGATGGTTGCATGTCTGTGGACAACGCTCGACTGCAACCGAGCAGCGGTTGATGAATGCGAAGAGAGTGGGATACATCATGCCTGTCCCCGCTGTGTAGAAAAACTGGCAGAGGCCCAGAGGCAAGAATCTCCAAGAGCCTGCGCGATGCGATTGTCGAAAGGACTGCTGGAGACAGTTTAGAACGTCAGACACCTGCACATGTGCAGACTTGGTGCTACAAACTGCTGGAAGCTTCGGGCAACAATCTCGAAGCGAGGAGTGGTGCAAACAAGTTCGTCAGCCTTTGAGCTAAAATGACTTGTCGCAACAATCTATTGCCAATTGCAGGAGCGGGAACAACGTCAACACCTGTCGCTACAGGGGAAGAAACAACTTCTAGGCATGGCACCGTAAGTTGCCGGATCTGCATAGAGACCTCGGGATGAGAGGAGCGATTTCGACGTGCAGCTGAAGTCAACAACACCTGAAACACACTCAGAGTCGAAACTGAAGTTCCGAAAATTTCGCTACTGCATCCGCGGCACCGTAAATTGGGAACAGGCCATAGGCAAGATTGCACAACACGGACCCAATCATGAAGGTATTCAGGAAACCTGAGAAGCACTGATTCATCGCGTGCTCTTTGTGCTAAGCTGCACGCACCGCTTCTCGCGGCCCTTCGCACTATGCGACAAGTCGGTCTTCTCAGGCACAAACTGTGGCTCAGTGTGTTGCTTGCTTTTGTGGGAGCTCTCTGTTTTAATTTCGTTGTGGTCTCTATTTTTTGCAATTGCCTTTTTGATGGTCAAAGCTACCTCATGGGGATGGCACCTCAAGATGCACTAAGTCTTTAGACACACCGGTCGCTTGGACTGGTCCACTGGGTGGCTTTCTTCTTACTGCAAGCGGTGGGTACGTTCAATCTGTCTAGCTGGTGACACAGCCAAAACAGGTCTGGGCTAGCTCATGTGTTTCGCTGCACTCGTCTCTAACCTCTCCTCAAGGATGACGTGTTGCCAAGAGGCCCAGCTTCTTTGTCAGGGTTGGGTAGAGAAACAGCTGGGACATCAACAGTCCAAGGGCGCCTCCCAAGAACTGAAGAACTGGACAGGACTTTTTTGGACAAGGCGTGATCGTGTGCTCGTTTGCAGCGCAGACTACATGTCAGCGCGTCCCGGCCGGCAGGCCTATGTTTTGCATGATCCCGATCTCCTGTGGGCCGAAGGCAAAGCCATCAGCTGAGCGGTCATATGACCTCAGTGGCTTGGGGATCTGGGTCCAAGAACCTTGAGCGTCACTCAAGACGGGCACAGGGCACGCAGAGCACACATAGACATGCTGAGAGCCGGGCACCAACAGAATCATCAGCTGATTCTGCGCCGCTACACATCCCGACAGGCCACAGTACGCGATCATAACCCTGGGAGGTTGGTGAGTTCGGCACTATGTGGGGTCTGGAGAACCAATGCCTTGCAGTCTGCCTTGGACACTCTCACCATCACTGGAGTGTGTAGATGCCGAAGCAAGCCATGTCGGGAACAGGTCAGGTGGACCGAACAGCTCCGGTTCAACTTTCTAGGCAAGACCGTCTCAGTGCAAGCTAGTTCATTCCAAGGCTCTGGATTACTGTCATTGGATAGCACTTGCCGTCAGCACTTCCTCTCATGTCCGTGGTCAAGCAACAGTGGCCATCTGATCGTCTGAGCCTTCAAGAGCCTTCGGGAGGTCATAATACCACGAAGCCAGTCCAATCGTGTGTAACGGCCTAGGAATTTCGCCTGTCTAAAAACCTCACGCAGCCTGTGGCTTGCCATGAGGGGTGTTCCCAATGTTCCCGTAACACTGGTGTCCTGGGTTCGCTGGCTCATTGGCGTCCTCGCAAACATATGAACGAGGCGCGCCTGCGCGAGGCCGGCATGGGCTAACAAACAAGCGCTTGATTCACGAAATCGCTCTCCCACTAGCGACACAGCTTTTTGCTCGAAGTCAAAAATGTCATGAGCAACATTCCACGACTTCGGACAAACATCCGAACAGGGTCCTTGACAACGTCACAGCATTTCAGTCACGCCCGCACCAGCCGCACCGGGCCAAACACACTCCCTGCTGCTGCACCTATTGCTGCTAGCCGACACAGAGTGCTTCGGCACTGTCTTCCCCCCAGACTCCAGGTCAAGTCGTGTCCAGTACGTAGTTCCGGAGGAATGACCGCTCTCTTGACGCACCGAGCGGATCAGAGCCTGAGGGATCTGTGCCTGAAAGCGTCCGTCGCATTGACGGGCCTGACGGGGTAGCCCTTGGAGCAGGTGCAGCACATCGAGCTCCCGTTCCAACTGGGCATGTGTACAAATACCCACCACAAAACATGATTTAGCTTCAAAGTTTGAGCCAGTTAGCGCCTCAAAGAGGAATTGATTGATTCCGCAAGAGCTCCACACCCGAGGAGGGAAGAATCCGACAAAGAAGGATTCCGTCATCGTTTTTGTCACAAGACAAACACTCATTCCCTCAGAAGCCTCGGTGAGTTGCCAGGAGGCCATGCTCGGATTCCGAAAGTCATACCAGAACTCCCCCGCTAAACTTCGTCATCACTGTCTTGAAGTTTGAGCATTGCTTAGCGAATCTTAGCGACTTGTGATTGACTGCCTAAGTATCGGCTCTAGCAAACACTCAACACGTCTCAACTACGTCAACGCACGGGCTGAGTAAGAACCTGGCGGAATGGCCACGGTGCTGTGATGACGGACGCAGCGCTGGCTTTTGGGTAATGTCTCCTACACGAAACAAGTCTTTGTCTGCTTTTTTCTGCTTTACGCTGACTATACGCTCTCCTGGCTAGTAGCCATCCTCGAGGGCTTTGCTGCCACTGAGTACATGAACGACGAGAACCTGCTATAGCGCTGCTGCTACTCCGGCGGCACCACATCCTTAAAGGCCACAACATTCCTGCGAACTCTCGCGTGGCCTTTTAGCTCGCAGCATGGCATAAAACAGGAGTGCAAAGAACACGCAGGGTACACAGAGTTGATTTGAAGACCAGTCCTCCAAAAAAGTCGCCCCAATGCACCTGAGCACACATGCTTCCCCTTCTACTTGCTGCCACTCCGACCAGCAGCCTGTGTAACTTGCTGTCCGGAGGGAAGTCGAGCCGAAGATGTCTTTACGGGGTTCTTCGAACAATTTGTTGCTGCGCGGCTCAGCTTG